AGGAATGCGCGGATGAAGGAATTAGCGTCGAAAAACCGTAAATGGGTAAATGGAGGAACGCGGGAGTGAGTTGCTAAACTGCCCTTATTCCTATCGCTACTTTACGAATTAAAATACTCTCGCGCTTGCAGCCGTGGAATGCGCGGATGAAGGAATTAGCGTCGAAAAACGTTAAACCCGTAAATGGAGGAACGCGGGAGTGAGTTGCTAAACTGCCCTTATTCCTATCGCTACTTTACGAATTAAAATACTCTCGCGCCGTACGATTTGCAGCCGTTCCGACTCTCTCCCTCTCCTCCCTCCGTTAGTCTCGCATCCCCGTTGCATCCCTCTCACTTCTTCTCTCCTATTCTCTCTGTTTTATTCTCGCCCTCTCATCGTATCGGATGAATGTCTGGGAAATGAGAATCCCGGCGAGTTCGACGTTTTCCATTTCCCCGCGAATTTAATAGCCGTGACTCTCGGGGGCGGAATTTTGTCAGCTGTGAATTTACGACCGACCTGATAGAGTTTTGCAGGCAATCTCGTTGTCTTGGCCGTCGTCTTCTCGTTTAAAGTCTTATACTGCTTGTACGTCTTATACTCCTACGACTCGTTCTTACATCGTATTGCTCCTGTTATCTACGTCACGCGAGCGAACATTTTATCCAATTTGAGAGCCATTCAATCTGAATAGTTACCTTCGCATCTTTTGAGATTTACGTTAAGAATGCGGTAATAAGTTTATTACATCGCGCGCGACATTGTCTTCGAATGATTTACGTTTATTTAAACTGCATAAAAGATAACGGAGTAACGATATGTCGCGAGAGAAAACTTTCTTTTCTTTGTTCTTTTGCGTTCAGCTCTCGAAGGAAGCCAATATCGCGCTATCTGAACGCTTTTCGTTATAGCCGGAAATGAGAACAGATATAGAGCAAGGACGCAAACACACACGCCGCATGTGTATGCACGTATATCGTACTGGTAATCCACGTAATTACTTTTTCCACTCTCTTTACGAACGTGCGAAACCGTTAATAGAAGATCCGTCCGATCCGAGAGAGGCGGCTGAGAATCGAAACTCATCGGGAATTGTCCGCCGCTGTACCAATTGCCCGCGCGCACAGCTGCGTACTCGATACTCTATATCCGCGAGAAACTTTATTTTCCTTCTTTATTTTCTTACCACGTTTCCTTTAGTGCGATTATTATTATCCCCGAGTGATGACGAGTAGTATTTGCATGAAAGTAGGCTACGCACGAATGCAGCAGGTGATCGTGAAAAGAGTCTGGAAAAAGCCCAGCAAACACAGATACATAACTGTAACATTGCCATAATAAAACGGAATGTAACAAGTAATATCAGAAATTGAACTGATAAAAATAATTACAATGTTATTAGCCGCATTTTGCAGGCTTTATATACGCTCATGACAAGAATTTGAATACGGGTATAGATAGTGAATAGCGCGCCGTATAGCGGTAAGCAAATGAACTATAATCAATATAAGTTACAAAAGGACTTTATTTGGACGGTCATAGGACGTTTTCAAAATTACGTCTTTGGCTAGTCTAAGAAATGAGGTCTTTTAAACGTCAATTATTAGTCGCCGACATTATAGACCAAAAATAGACGTCATTATGTCGTCTTTTGACGTTACTCTGTTACTTGGGCTGTTACATTACATATTACTTTTATGTTACATAGCAGTTATATTCTGGTGTTATATTGCTTAAATAAGAGATAGTTATATAATCCCAATATAAATTAGGTATAACAACTGTTACATTACATGTTACTCCCATGTTACATAGCAGTTATATTCTGGTGTTATATTGCTTAAATAAGAGATAGTTATATAATCCCAATATAAATTAGGTATAACAACCGTTACATTACATGTTATTCCCATGTTATATAGCAGTTATATTCTGTGTTTGCTGGGAGTTTTCTTTTTCAATTCCGCTGATTTTAATGACAATATTGATGTAACCGGCATATAAATGAGCTAGAGCTCGGCACGTTCCTCAATCCTCCCTTCCTATCGCACAAAAATATTTTACTTAAAAAGAAAAAATAATAAAGGTTTCATTTCTCTCAAGGCAGATTTAATTTTGCTAAAGTTTGCGGTTAACACGCTTTGCTCGCATATTGAACAGACTGAATGCTGAGCTCGGTTGTATAGCGTTTCATTCGACCAAGTATGCAAATCTTGAATACAATGCGAAACGCCAAATGCTGACACGATTTCTCGAGCGTTCGAGGCCAGTCGTGTCGCAGCAGGTGCTATTCATATATAACGCGTAAAACATATTGAATTTATAAAGCGAAATGCGAGAGCGACAGCTTTTAATTCAGCAGAGTACTTCTGCGATGACTCATTAACGAAGACGCCGCAAAAATAAAGATTACGCGAAAACACACTTACTGTTCCAGGGAATAACCGAAGTACAGAAAGGCCAGCAAAAGAAGGGCGATTAAAACGAGAGGCGTCCCAAGAAGGGGTCCGAGTGTAACAGCTAATCGAGAATCTTTCATAGCTGCTCCCGCTGTCTCCGCATTCGTCACGTGGATCCCCGTCGCTAAAAAAAATGTATAAGGGAAACTGAGTGATTTCGGAAAACAAAAATCTTGTTTATTACTACTTATTGTCCTTGCTGTTCGATTAAAATATGAATAATTATCTTTTTGATAACCTAATCATACTTTCTTTATTATTAGAAAAATGCAGCTTTGATGAGATCTAGTATAGCACAATTAATATACAATTAAATAACATTAAATGAAAGGATTGAGAGAAGTAAAAGATTTATCTACAACTAATTTAAAAATGTTTTTAAATTGCGGTTGAGATTGAATTAAAATAAATGTTTTGGTTTATCGAAATTGTAGCAAGAAAAATATAATCAAATTGTTACAAAAAATAAATTATATTTTAATTAATATAAATAAAAAAGCGGGATATTGCTCGATCTCAATTGTTTACGCATTTCAATTATAAAACTAAATTAAAAATCGTCACCGCCATAAATGTCAAATGCCGTTCAATGGTACTTCAATATCAGTATTAAAAACAATAATAACAGGATAAATAAAGGAATATTTTTTGTTTACAGCTCTACATGTATATTTTTGTTTTGATTATAAAATTGAAACAGATTACACACACATATACTTCCGCGACAAAAATTTCTGAATTATCAAATAACGAAAACTTTAATCGCGTTATTTTCGTTTGAGATATAAACAAATCAGTTGTGTTTTGAGCTTCTCTCTCTCTCTCTCTCTCTCTCTCTTTCTCTCTCTCCCCCTCTCTCTCTCAAAACTTTTCTAATAAATTAAATCGCAGAAGTATATACTAACTTTGCAACATCTCCCTCAGGTTTTCCACTGCTTCCTTTATCACGATTCCGGAATAATCTCCTTTCTCCTTTACAAGAACTTCAACGCCTCCATTCCAACTGCGTCTGGTATGCCACGCAATCTTCTCCGTGTATCCCTCTAAAGCTTCGTCTGCTGCGGTTTGTACCATCACTAAGGAAATTTGTTCCGATGTGGAAACGCGTCCGCCGCAATAAGGACAACAGTGACCTTCCACCTGAAACGTCATGCTTGAGAAAATGTGTGATAAATTAATTAATCACCGCGTTCTTTATTCCAACTAGAAGTATCTCTAACTGTAAGAGGATATTCGCAGTCCGTGAATCCGCATCTTGGTCTCTGAATGGCGCAGATCTCTTCGAGATAATCGTTCAGAGAGTTTCTCTGACAGAAACATCGCGGACAATCCCGCATAGCCAGATATAACAGATTCAGCTCGGTATATCTGGAAAAAATAATTTTGCGTGAATTACACTTGCGATTTAATTGAAATTAGAAATTAGGAAAAGCGACTCACTTGACAGTAAATCTACCTCTGGAGAACTCTCTACGATCTTGGAATTCTATCCATTCCTCCTCTAAAAACGGCTGCTTCTCGTTCGATAGTCGAATCGAGCTCACCTGTACCTCTCTTACAGGTAAAAGGATGCTCAGAGTGCGATTCACGCTCGGCAGGACAACGTTGTCCTGGCGACAGGGAACGCGCTCAAGATGCGGCGCCGCTATCGAACTACCGTTCCAATTTACGGGATCCGCCCAGAAGAAATTACCCTCCTTCGACCATTTACTGACCTTTGCGTCCGCCCTCGAATTGCTCAACTTGTGCAATACACCCAAGAGAGAAAGAGCGTACGTATATTATTTTATAGAAATGTAAAAAACATAATTATATAAATATTAAATAAGATTTATAATTGCATTCGAATTGCGCGAATTTTAATATTTTATATTTTTATCATTATATTTTACGATCTTTATAACTGATAAATATTCTAATAAACGATTTTCCAATTAAGCAGCGAGCAAATGATGCGCCAATATTAAAACATTAATATCGCAATTATCGTAAACGTGTCAGCGAGAAGCGGCTACTACGATATTCTGTAAATGAATAATACCTTTCATCTGCAAAGCATTAAATAGGGAAAAAGGGCGATCAAACGCATCATTTCGTTCTATACATTTTTTTATTTTTTTGTCATTCTCATTCAATTTTTTCAATTCTAATATAATCATTTATCTATATTTTCTTTCTTCAGTAAATTTATAAATTGCCCTCACCTGCAATTTACCGTTTCTAGGCAAGACCAAAAATCCTTGACTGGACAAATCGATTCCGGATAGCCTTAAATTGTCGGCGCTGGCGATACCCACAGCATGTCGGGTCTGTTGAGGGAAAATTACTCGGCTGTCGATTTCTGGAATGCGACCGTCCACCCAGTTGTTTGCGGTTTGCCATTCCAAATCCGGAAGCCAGTGCTTCTCAAAAGCAGCGGAATATTTCGATATCAGGATAATGCACAGAACAATTTTGCGATATGGCGCGGAAAACTCAAGCATATTATTACGATTTTGTGATAACTTTTAGTCGATTAAATAGATGCGTCAATATGTGTAACAGATATGTCTACTTCTCGATTAATTCTCAATCACGCGAAAATGTATGGAACGGTAAAGAGATTTTATACGCATATTTTATCAATCATTTACGATAGTCCTTCAAATTCCGAAAATAGTGCGAGAGAAAAAGAAACTAAGCGCAGCTTGGAAACTCCGACGACTGAAAACTATGACGGATAATCAAAGCAAAATGGGGGCGTGCCTGATTCATGATAGTATAGCGTTGATTTGCGTTATTTATCGCAGTGAAGTCATCATGAGTCTCATGGCTCGTTGGAATCGAAGTATTTATTATATAGCTATTTACTATGTTAACTGTCTCATTAGAAATTAACGGATCGATTATATATTCAGATTTGCAGCATACGATTAATTTACGTTATCTCCCTTTCTCTCATCGAGATTAAAAATTATTCATGTTTAAATATGCTTGTTTAAAGAACTGTAATCAAACACGTTTAAATTGTATCAACATAAATTGAAGATTAATCTCTCTGAATTTAAACTCTCTCCAATTTTTACTAACAATTATTTATTTCAAATCAAAGCAGATGGAAAGCTAAATTTCTTCTTTACATTAAACGTCAATATATATTTGCATTTATTTTTGTTTATTATAATAATATGTTTAACAGAATATATATAAATATCGCAATGTTGCGCACATGAAAACATTAGGTCAACATTTATTATCGCTAAATTCTCATTTAATAATCAAATAATCGAAAATGGAGCTAAAGGTACATACACATACATATATATATATATATATATATATACATATATATAATATAACACGTAATATAATTTTATTTTAAAAGAGACATAAAAGTACTACATAAAAAGTACTACACTAAACTTTTAGACCATACATTAAAGGAAATGTTCTTCTTTCTTTCCTTTTCAATTTCCATTTTGCACATGATAAACATTTTAATTATTAATTATATAGAAGTGGGAAAGGGGGATTAATAAAATCAGACAACTTCATCTAAAAAAAAAGATCCAAAAGAATTTTTCTACAACTATGACGGATAATCAAAGCAAAATGGGGGCGTGCCTGATTCATGATAGTATAGCGTTGATTTGCGTTATTTATCGCAGTGAAGTCATCATGAGTCTCATGGCTCGTTGGAATCGAAGTATTTATTATATAGCTATTTACTATGTTAACTGTCTCATTAGAAATTAACGGATCGATTATATATTCAGATTTGCAGCATACGATTAATTTACGTTATCTCCCTTTCTCTCATCGAGATTAAAAATTATTCATGTTTAAATATGCTTGTTTAAAGAACTGTAATCAAACACGTTTAAATTGTATCAACATAAATTGAAGATTAATCTCTCTGAATTTAAACTCTCTCCAATTTTTACTAACAATTATTTATTTCAAATCAAAGCAGATGGAAAGCTAAATTTCTTCTTTACATTAAACGTCAATATATATTTGCATTTATTTTTGTTTATTATAATAATATGTTTAACAGAATATATATAAATATCGCAATGTTGCGCACATGAAAACATTAGGTCAACATTTATTATCGCTAAATTCTCATTTAATAATCAAATAATCGAAAATGGAGCTAAAGGTACATACACATACATATATATATATATGTTACACACGTATGACGAAAAGAACATTACAAGATTTATTATGATATTGAAGATATAGATACAATATATTATGCGATAGCATAAATTTTCTCCCGATTAAAAATATAATTATGGAACAATATAGAAACAATTACAATACTGACATGTTTATAGATAAATACGGCTTTTTAATACATAATGAGATATAGCTCATATCTATCATACAGTAAATTGTCATTGTAATTATGTGCTAAATAACGACGTAACTGATTACAATAGAAAGCGCAAACAACTTAATGATAATCTTATATCATTATTATCGCTGTATTTTATGACTGCAAGATATTCAAAAATATAAAAAAAGATATATATATATATATATATATACATAGAGCGTAGCGATGCAAAAGGAAAAATTATCTCTCTACGGCAAATCATCGT